CTCAAGTAGAAAGCAAATGTTTTGAGAATGTTGAGGGCAATGGATGTACAGATGTGCTTTACACAATTTATATATGTATGGATTGTGATAAGAGTTGTATGAGCCCCCAATAAAATGATTTTTGAAAAAGAGTTGTGCAATCCCCCAATAAAATGATTTAATTATTAAAAAATAAAGTGCTGAAATCTAATCCTAGCTGCACCGCTTCTTGGTGCTATATAGTCTTAGGCCAGAAGTTTTCAGCACTGGGCATTATCTTGCTCCTTCTTAAATAAAGGGAAAAGATACCAACCTCAGAGATTGTTGTAAGGACTACATTAGATACGGTATGTGATAACACCTGCCATAGCAGGTGGCATCCAGTGCATTTCCGTACTTTCTGATACATCGGTGGCATTCCGCGTCTCCCTGATAGATCAGTAGTTTTCCACACCCACCAATGGGATTCCCACAACACATGCAATCCCCAGCTGATCAACAGAAGATTCCATTGAAGTTTTTCTCAGTCTAGTATTCCTGGCAAGTATGGTTACAACAGAGCTTGAAGTGCCCATAGAGTGCCAAACTAGTCCTGGTTTATGTCACCAGATATTGCGCCTATTCATGAACTCCTGAGAACCAGAAAAGGAATTCCCTTACATCTCCATAAGCATTCCAGCCATTCATTCTGTCAGTCCTTAGGAAGACTGGCAGGCTATCAAGTCTTTAGTGAACACTTTCTATGCCTGAAACCAGCCCTCTAATTTGTGTTGCTTGTGGGTCGTGGAGTCAAAGTCGGTGGACTAAGAATCAAAAGGTTGGTGGTTCAAATCCACCAGCTTCTCTGTGAAAGATGACCTGTCTGTTCTCATAAATATTTACAGTCTCAGAAATCCTCAGAAGCAGGTTTACTCTGTCCTGTCGTCTGTCTAAGAATCCATGCACTCAGTAGTTTGGCTTCTAGGGCTTTTAGGAGCCCTGGTGGCACAGTGGTTAAAGTGCTTGGCTAGTAACCAAAGGCTCAATAGTCCACACTGACAGGCACCCTACAGGAGAAAGAGATTGCAGTCTTGTGCAGCAGTAGCACTTAGAGTCACTTATAATAAATATAGGGTTACTGAAGTTGACGCACAGCATCTAACGACAACCTATGATGTTAAATAGTGTGTATGAAACCCTTAAGACAATAACTGACGTCGATCAGGCTCGGTCTTTATATCCCTTCAGTACTCTGCACCAGATCTGTTCCTGCACTCGTCTCACCACCTTACCATTTTCCCTGTCTCTGTCGCCCACCGGACAAGGAACTTCTTAAAGGAAGGGATTGCTGTGAGGCAGGCAATCCCCAGCAATGCTCACCCCCTTCCCTTCTCTTCCCTGCCCTGCCCCGCCCCGCCCTGCCCTGCCCTCTGTCTATTTATTATTTGGGGTTTTCTTTTCTTTTCCTTTCTTTTTGAGGTAGGGATACGAGATAGGATTAGTATCTTATTAAATAAGAGGAATGTGTTCCATGTTACTTCACAAACTGCAGCATTGGCCACACAGGCCCTGGGGCTGCAGGGGCATTGGGGCCACCCCCACATGCTCCATGACTTCTGGGGGCGGTGTACATACTGATGACGAGCAGGCACTGGGCTAGAGAGGGAAGTCAAGATCGCTGCATGGAAACGGGCCTGAAGCCAACTGTGCGTGTGTTTCCTTCCATCTATAAACAAGTTTTCTTCTTGTCCCTAGGGTCACGTGATCTCACTGCCACCCACCTTTTCATAGCAGAGACCATTTTATCAGGTGACAGGGCCTCACTGGTTAATGTACAGGACCTAATGCCAGAGATGCTAGTTGTCCTTTTGCTGCTGGGCTGGTCTTTTAAGCGTTATCTTCTGCTGTTTTCTTCAGTAATAAATGGGAGCAGGGTTGGTGGAGATGGTAGCTTGGTGTGAGAGCCCTGTTGCTGAGTGGCAAATGCGAGTGGCCACTCTGTATGCACTAATGAGGCTTCTGTTTTTCTGTCAACCCACCTAGTGCCCAGCATGCAGTTTGCCAAGGATTTGCTCCTAGTGAAAGAGAAGGAGGGTGTCCTGCACATTCCTCTCATTCGGAGCGGGGACCTAAGTTACGAGTCATCTGTGAGGTGCTACACGCAGGGCCATTCAGCTCAGGCCATGGAGGACTTTGAAGAGAGAAGAAACGCTGACTCTTCGCGGATCACGTTCCTGAAAGGGGAGAAAGTAAGTGGACTTGTGCTGACTGCGACCTGTGATTCTCTTTTTCTTGATAACTGTATTTGCGATTTAGTCATCTCATTACTAATTACTGAAGGACATTCTAGGAATTTTGTGACTTATTGAGTGCTGGGAGCACCGTGTCCACATGTTGCGCTGCTAACTGCAAGATCAGCCGTCCCTAGCACCAGTTTCTCTGCAGAAAAAGGACAAGATTTTCTACTCCATCAAGAGTTACCATCTCGGAAGCCCACGGGGCAGTTCTACCCTGTCCTGTAGGGTCAGCACCAGTCAGAATTGCCTTGATGGCACTGAGGGTTTTTTTTAGATTAATTATATTTTTAATATTATGTATTCCACATGGCTATCTCTTTTGTCTTCCACATTTAACCTGCCCAAACAATGCAGCAATCAAGTGAAAAACAAACGCACACATGCAACACGAGTTGAGCTACGAAGGTGAGATGACGGCACTGTTGGATTATAGACGACACAAGTGCAGGCAGGTTACTCTTAAACTGAAACCATATTGGAGACAAACATAGTCATCCCACTGATGCTACTAGATGAGAAGGAAGTGGTTCTCTAATACCTGGGCCTCTGACCCAAGGCAACATCCAGGGTCCTAAAGGGACAGATAGATGCTGAGCAGATTCAAGGCACTGAAGTAGTCTGTGGTCAATACACACAGGGACACTGGAAGTTCTGAGAAACTCCAGCCACGAAATATGTGCCTCAGAATCAAACCCTGCAACCTCAGTGTATGTCAAACATTTTTTGGACTAAGAATCAAATTTCTCCCTCTTCAAATTCAGTTACAGATGACTAAGTTGGTTGTACCCCTTGGATGGAGTACATGCTTAATGCATTCAACTATTTACTAAAAGTTTCAGGTTAAGTTTAACCAAAAGATGCTTTGGAAGGGGAAATCTGATGATTTGCTTCTAAAATTTCAGCCCTTGAAAGCTCTGTGGAGCACAGCTATATTCTAACATACAGATGTTGCCATGAGGCGTAATAAATTCAAGAGTAGCTGGTTTGGGTTCCAAACACTCTGTCCTCATTGGTCAATACAAGACCCTTCCTTATTTATTCATTCTACCCTCCTTGTATTCTCTAGGGACATCCCTTCCTAACCTCATCATTTGATTGTGCTTAATGTGTAGCCTTGTATATTTCTTTTTGAAAATTATCTCTTGCGTTTGAATTTTAATTGAACTAGATGCTACTGTGCTATTTTAATCAGCAATATACTTTAAGAACTAACTGCATCTTCTTTGTATGTAGCCAATCTATTATCTCCCAGTGTTGTAAAATATTTTATGATGTGCATTTTCTACAATTTACCCATCCACTTGGTGACGGACCTTACCTTTTTGTTTTTTGTCAGGTGAATGCATATTAAATTACATCTCATTTTAATGTTTATTTCTCCTATCATTACTATGTTATATTCTAATTAGCTTATTAGGTTTCTTTAAAATTATTGTGTTTTATCATTCAATCTTTTTACCCTTTTGTGTGGTTATCTTATTGTTTTCTTCGCTGTTCCTTTAATTTCTAAATATTGATCCCTTGCCGGTGGTAGATATTTTAGATACTGCAAATAACTCTTCCTTTGCTGGAAATTAGCTCCTTTGATTGTAGAGTCAGTAATCTCCTAATCTCATGTATTAAAATATTTCAAGGTTGAGAAATTGTCAAATCTCATAAAACCAAATGCTTCAAAGTTTTAGGTTAGCATAGAAAGACCTTATCTGTGCCTGGCCACTTCACATTCTTCTTTGGTTCATCCCTCCCCAACCCCCTCAGGCCCCAAAAGTGATAGCGTTCTTCTGTGAGACTGTCTTTCACACATTCGTGACGCATAACTAAGGCCATCTTATTTATATATATTCTGGGAACTTTTACTAGTGGCAGGTTGAAACCTGTGTTTTTAAAACACACACAAACACGACACAGATATCATCTTCAGCTTTGAGTCTACATGTCTGTATTTGTTGTAAGTTCAAATGAGGATTCTCTGCCTATCCAAGAGGCAATTTATAATATCGTGAGAAGAAAAGAAAATACAGCCAAATACTGTGTGTTACCCACATGGCAGTCTGTCATCATTCTTAAGCACGTGATTAGAACCCTCCTTCCCTTTAACTTACTATATAATATCTCTGGGGAACTTGCTATTCTCTAGCCTGTCTGTGTTTTTTAAAATCTCTTGAAGACTTGCTGCTTTTTTATTAAATTATGTGTCTGTAAAGTTCTAATTTAAGAAAGATGTTGCAGAAGAAATCAGAGAACTCTCTTTAGGGACTTAAAACCAAGCCAGCAGGCCTTGCACATGATCATAAGGTTTGATTGACGAAGTATGTGAAGGAAGCATTGATAGTTTAGTGACAGAATCCTCACCTTTCCTGAGAAAGACCTGCATTCAATCCCTGGCCAGTAGACCTCATTCACAGGCACCACCTGTCTGTCTGTCAGTGGAGGCTTACGTGTTACTATGATGGTTGATAAGTTTTAGCAGAACTTCCAGACTCAGGTAATCTAGGAAGAAAGGTCTGGCGATCTGCTTTAAAAGATCAGCTAATGAAAATCTTACTCCATTCCACAACCAATCATGGGGATGAGGCAGGACCAGGCAGCATTTCCATCCACTGTGCACGGGGTCCCCATCATGTGGGGCCAGTGCCCACAGCAGCCCACAGCAGGAAGTGGGAGAGTTAGAAACTTCTCTCTGCCTGTGTATTCTTTCTCATACAGTAGTCTTACAGATCAGTCCTTTTAAAGGAAAAGCCTTGACTTTTCCTTCTCTGACAATTCCCCACCTTACGAGGGTTCCAGCATTGGCAGGTTTTAGGGAACACTTTGTGAGTGGTGGTGAGCCCAAGACTCTGCCCTTGATGGAGCCTGCAGGGTAACTGTTCATTCCTTCAGCTGAATGTAGATGCAGATGCTGTAAACGGAATGACACCTCACAAATATTGTTACTGTTTTAAATTTTATGGTTTCAGTTTTAAATGTATATGTTTTGTTTTATATGTTACTGTTTATTGTTTTTATTTTGATATTTTTGTTTGTTTCTTGGTCATTTGGGACTAAAATCATTTATAAACTTTTTCTTCAGTTTATTTTTTATTATGTTTTTATTGGGATATACTTCACACATCCTATAATTTAATTGCTCAATTAAATTAAGATTTGTGCAATCAGGACCACAATCAGTTTCAGAACACTTTCTTCTTGTTCTCATTGTCATTAGCTCCTCCTCCCCC